GACTAACACTTGATATTGCGACGTGACCAACATTTCATATTGCGACGTGACCAATATTTTATATCGATGGGCGGCATGTCAACGGTTGTCATTGGCGATTGCGTCTGTTATTCACGCTCAGACTGCACACTCTGCGTGTAACTGTAATTTTTGCATCAATTTTACGCTACACTGTTCTATTGGAAGATAACAACATACAAGTGTAGTTTATTGGATGCTGAAAGCACACATCCCTCAGAAAGCAACCTGATATTGTGTGCATGCACGTTACTTAGAATGATGCCTATGAAATAAAAGGCTGTGATGTTACGTCATGCCAGCCACTGGGTTCACGGATATGCCTGGGTTCACCTACTGTCCTTACCGTTGTGCTATACCCAATTTGCTACGTACTGCAACGTACCGCATTATGTATGGTGTGTAATTTGATGATGGCTCGCCTTTGTGGTGAATTCGCCGAAGACAACTGTCCCGTCTTTCTGCAAGCGCCGCGATCCGCGAAGTCCCAATCTCAAACGCTGTCTGCCCTTTTTCAGGGGCGGTTTGTGTTGACCTGACCCGGCTGCGGCGCCGACGTCGTGACGTCAGCCGAGCCCCAACTCCGCGGCCACCATGGACGTCGACATGTGCTTCAACCGCACCGGCACCGACATGTTCAGCGACTTCGACTTCGCCAGTCACGAGTACCCGCTGGAGTACAAGCCGCTGGAGTTCAGTCCGGAGAGCATTGTGAAGGTAAGCGCCGGCGTGTCGCGACGACACGTGAGTTGAACTGGGATGCCCATGTGGCGCGGAACGCGCATCACCCGGCTGCGGGCGTCCGCCGGTCCGTCTGTCTGCGGGGCGGCGGCTGTGCCACTGCTGCTCGGCCGACGGCACGTGCTGGGCCCCTGTTGGACTGTCTCTGTATGGTTGTATAGCCCGGTATCGAAACCTCTCACTAACGCCTCGAGCGTCGCACGGGATGGCGGGTGCTGGGCGCGAGGAAGAGAGTGGTGATGGAGTGCGTGCTTTCCTTAGATTTCCGAAATTTTAGTCTGGATAATGGCCAGTGCTTTATTTTTTAAACCTCAAAAGGCACGAGGATCACCTATCTAGAGGGTAGATGAGATTGAAGGATCTGGAGGATCTGATGGGTTGGATTGGAGAATCTGGAGGATCTGATCTGTCGGATTGAAGGATCTGGAGGATCTGCTAGGTTGGATTGGAGGATCTGGAGAATGTGATAGGAGGATCCCGAATGTCTGGGGTCACGGCTGGGGGATCCTATCTGTTGTAATCCTGGGGTACCCAAGCCCTGGTTTCCTGGAGGACCCCAGCGCCTGCTTGGGAGCGATCATCAGCAATGGCGGTGGCGATATTCATCACGTTGCACCTCGCCTTTTTCAGCAAACACGCCGCTTGGCTGCTATGTTTCGTGCATGTATGCCATTGCATTTGCAAACATGAGCAGTGTTTGCCCTTTAGTGAGGAATTGCTCATTTCACAAATCAACAGACACATCGCATGATAACTGTTGTATGGTTGAAATCGGTTGGACTTTGCGCTTACGCTGCTGGTCGGTTGTATGCGGATTAAGGCCATTATTACCAGGCGAATGCCGTCGTTGCCGAAATCCGGTCTTCGTCGCATTTCCCCCTTATGTTTAGAATTACTAGCAATCACAAGCAGGAAGTAAAAAAGATTTACGACAAGAAGTCATATTTAATCGCTGTTTATGTTTTTATAGTTAATGCATAACCGTACATATGGTGCACACACTGGATGGTCAGCGACATCATTTTATGTTGTTATGTTATGAATGGCATATGGTTGATTAGACAACTTTGAATCATTAAAAAACATGTACTTTATGCACAACCGTACGTATGGTGCGGACACAGGATGGTCGGCGACATTATTTTATGTTGTAACGTTATTTATGGCATATGGGCAATTGGAAATTTGGATTGTTCAGAAAAAGATGCATTCTATCTACCGCTGCCCTGGTCTGAACCGCCCGATGCGCTCCGGCTCTTTTGGTTACATTACACACGTACAGTAAGATATTTCTTCCCCTATGGAAGCGATTCCGTGACTGCGTAAGTTCCTGTAAAGCTACAAACGCTGATAAGACCCCAGCCAGGAAGGCATCCTCATCAGCTGCGCTGCCGGGAAAACATCTAGAGAACAATGGGGAGGCGCCGTTTTCGTGGCCCAATTCATAACCAAATCATCACAGCAAACTTGGCTTAGTTTCAAAACTCCCTACGCCGGGCGGAATAGGCTATTGAAAGGTTGGTTCAAGATTGAGCCAACGCGAGAACTTTCCTCCATTGATCCTCATTATGAACACCTGGAGAGTGATGACGCCAGAAGTTTGGGCCATTCTCAAAGCCAAAGCAGCGACAAATGACAGCTGAAGAGGTCTCTTACCGATATGGCTTCCCTACGCCCATCCGATCGGAATAATTCAACTTAACTATCGGCATACATCACCCAGAAATTATAATGAGGGCTGCAGCCTTCGAAACGGCTTGCTTCCTGATGAAATTATATCCACCTTTCGACGAGCCGCTATCCGCGTGGCCACGATCCATTAAACCACGAGCCGTCATCTACGGGAGAATATTAACTCGTCCACTTGGCGCTTTACGTAACATGGTGCATTTGTGCCAATCATCATTTGCTATGCACTTTGCAGCCTTGCAGCGTATGTTTACTTTCTGCTTGTGCAAACCCGGATTGCAGAGCCGGCCCCATGCTGTATCGTACGTTGCTTTGAAGCTGTATTAGTACCCTAGATGAAATGAAGCGCATTAGATTGATGCGCACAATAATCAAGCATTCCATGAGCTCTTGAAAGATCGCTTTAGCCGTTTTGACCGTTGATCAATGCATTTTATCACCAACTATAGATTTAAAATACGTTTAAATTCTCTATCAAGTGTAAGTAGGTGCTCAACACTTTGACAAGGAAATGACTGTCTTCACAAAATTTCATTGACAATCAATAACATACCTACATTTATCCATCTAAAAGTAAGTGCAGTATATATGAACGGGCTGCCGAAAAAAATTGCTTCTTCTGTCCATGCCTTCGCCAACTTTTACAGGTGAGCATGCATAATTCACCAAATCCAAGGAGAACATCAGGCCTGACTACCAGCCGTGTGAGTCGGCCGAGCGCCATGGATGCCGGCTGACCGTTGATGTTTGCATCGGTGCTGTGTGGAGCAAGGCGGGCTTTGGGGACCATTTAACTCAAGGATCAGTTACCGTGGATCATGCTCAGATGCCAAGGTCTCGAAGTGCTGCACACCCATGAACGGCGACGCGGGCAGGATAGTAGAGTCTGTTTTGTCGATTCTGCGGCAGAAATGTCACCTAATGTTTTTTTAATATTTCGCATTATTTCGATAGGAAGAGATATGAGTCAAGCATGCCCACAAGAGCACGATCTCCAATTGCAATCTTATAAAAAAGACGTGTTTAATTTTTTTCTTCAAATGTCGCCAAGCATGTCTAGCCCAAATCGTGATAAAGCGATGTCCTTAGAAAATAGATGCTGAAAACTTCTTTTTAAACTCTGTTAATAGTTTTGCGCGTAATCCTTCGTGAAGACAGGTATCTGTCTTGATATCTGTCTTGATAGTCCTATGATATCAGGCAAAATACCCGAGCTCCTATTTGATCACCGGCGATCATGACCATATAACCAGAGGTGTACGTGTTGCTCTTGGCATTTTCATGGTTTCCAAAACTGATCACTAGCAATGGGAGACGCATCGTCATGTTATGCTCGCACTATCAGTTTGAGAGACTGGAATGAGCAGCCCATACTTGCAATTCTACCAGCAAATAAACTGGCTGCATTTATAGCTATCGTCAAAATCGCATTTGATAGCATTTCATACAGATGGTGCTGCATTTAGGGTAAACATGCAGTAAACTTGGGGTAGATTGCATTGTGGGTTTTGGTGACGCCAACTCCAAGGCAGCCAGACCGTTCCGATTGTGCAGTAATACGCTGTTGGCTTCCATGGATTTCTAGCGTATTTTGTTGGGCGGACTTGGCCACTATTTGGGGTAACCCGACAATTAGGACTCGAGGGCTTCAGTTCGTCTTATGGATCGTTCTTTTGCTTCTGGGGATAAAGACGTACGTAAGATGGGTACTTCTGATTGAATCCAAGTTAATGGATCGCTTTTACCGTCGCGTGTTTTGCTTATTTTTAACGCATAAAGCAGGAATTCGGGGGGCGGAAACCCAGTGGTTAGGCGCCGCGCCTGAGGGAACCGGAGGTATGGGGCTCAACTCCCGCGGAAGCCGCCGTCCCTGTCAGGCCACGTCACGGGTGAGACGTCACGCCCACGACGCCACGCGTGAAACGTCACGCCACGACGCTACCGGTGAGACGTCACGCCATGAGTCACGGATGAGACGTCACGCGACGACACCACGCGGTGAGACGTCACGCCACGACGCTACCGGTGAGACGTCACGCCATGCAGTCACGGATGAGACGTCACGCGACGACACCACGCGGTGAGGACGTCACGCCACGACGCTACGGTGAGACGTCACGCCATGAGTCACGGATGAGACGTCACGTGACGACACCATACGGTGAGACGTCACGCCATGACGCCACGCCAAGTGCCCAGGCCGCGTTCTCCTTTTTTATACCGACCTAACACAAGGCGGTGGAGCCACACTCGAGAAAGACGGAGCTGCCATCACCGTACAGGTATTTGACGCAAGTGATTGTTATCAACGTGCACCCAAGATAGGTCGTTTTTTGCAAGTTTTCGGCTTGATGTATTACACCGAAGAATAATGCAAACATTTTCGACTTCGTTGGCTTTAACAGCGAGGCACTTCGCCATATATTGTTTGAAATTGCGCTCAGATGCTGGGCAGAAGACGTCTTTGCCTGCCTGTCGTGTTTTCAGACCCTTTGACCCTCCTCACATGAAAAACCGACGTGGCCAAGAATGGCTTAAGGTTTCTCAGGGCTCCAAAGCCGCCCGTTGGGAACAGCGCAGGGCTTGAAATTATACATTCTACATACAACAATAATTTGTTATGGATTGTCACGTCGCCCGTGTCTCACCAAGTAAGGCCTCTTGCTGGTTTACGGGTTTAATTAAAACTTTCGCTGACGCCGTTAATTTGTCTGAGTAGCAGCGATTAACTACGATATCTTCCGAAGAGACAGAGCGAGGAAATGTATTGGAGCAGCGGTGTTGTTTCATATTCAGCCGGGGAAGACTTCAGCTCCTTCATTTTGAGAAGAAAGTAGGTCAGATCCTGGGAGAAGTCTGCTTTTTGTGTATTTTAGAGACAGGTTTAGCCGCTTCCACTGCTCAGTACCCTAGACCTGTTTTCCAAAACCGGACCTCTGTGGTAGAGGCTTCATGACCGTTACACGCGACCGATTCACCACCGCAGCACCTCAACGTCCAGCCCCAACACAGCTCCAAGGAGGAAAGCGTCGAAGTCAAGAGGCCGGTGGATCAATGTCGCTCAATATCGCAATGAAGGTGATCGGCAGCTTACGCCAGCCACGTAGCGGCAGCAACGTTCAAGGAGTTTGACTGCATTGAAGAAAAATTGAAAACTTGATCGGGTTCTCACACTGCACATCGGCCAAGAACAAGATCCCGAATGAAAAAATTGACATCCAAAGAGCTGCAATTTCGGTTTAAGAAATGTTATGTTTCTAGCTTATAAATCTGAAAACGGCATTTTT